TAATTATGTCGCAAAGTTTCTCGAACGAAACATATTTTGTGGATATGGAGTTCCACACAAACTAATTAGTGACCAGGGATCTCAATTCAAAGCGGAAGTTGAGACCCTCTTAGCTCGTTACAAAGTAAAACACCATCATTCTTCCCCATATCGACCTCAAATGAATGGAGCAGTAGAATCGGCAAATAAAAACATAACAGTCATCATTAAGAAAATGGCAGAACATTATAAAGACTGGCCGAATAAACTACACTTTGCTCTTTGGGGTTATAGAACGTCCATACGAACATCAATAGGAGTAACTCCATACTCCTTAGTTTTCGGCATGGACGCAGTTCAACCAATTGAGCTGGAAATACCATCCCTACGCATCGTACTCGAAAGTAAGCTACCAGAAGCTGAATGGGTGCGAGCTAGGTATGAAGAATTTTTATTCCTCGACAAACGACGATTAAAAGCTTTACATCATGTACAAGTCTACCAATAACGCATTGCACAACACTTTAACAAACGGGTACGACCCCGTAATATTAAAGAAGGTGACTTTGTACTAAAAGAGGTTAGAGGTCCTCCAACTGATCCAAGAGGGAAATTCAAACCCAATTGGATAGGACCACACCGTGTAATTGAAATTCTATCAGGAGGGGCTGTTAGATTAATGGATATTGGTGGCGACGAAATACGTCAATTAATAAACATTGATCGCCTTAAAAAATATTACATATAAATTACGGATAAACTCGTTCATTCAAAATTCTAAATCAAATTTCATAGCATTCAAATAAAAGATTCTAAGTGTTATGAATTTCACCGAACTCCACGGTAAAACTCATAACACTTGGGGGGGTAGACCCAAAAAAATAAATATATATTCTCACTTAAGTGTTCTAAACTTTACCGAACTCCACGGTAAAATTCACAACACTTGGAGAGGGGTTATATATATATATATATATATATATATATATATATATATATATATATATATATCAATCGAAACGAGCCACTCAAGTGCTCGGATTTTTTCGTACTCCACAAAAAATTCCTCACACTTGGGGGGTAATAGCACAGATGTCGCGCGCAACTCACTTAGTTGCTCCAAGCTGCCACGCACAATCGAATTGGTTGGGCGCGGTAGGCACGCGCAACCACTGAAGTTGCGCGCGCCACCTGATGACGAACTACGAGCCTGAAATTTTTTTCGCTTGAAGAAAATTAATTACTATTTTCACTAGCGATAAAATAAAGGTGCATTCAATCTTACATATATTCGTAAAACAAAAATTAAACTTTGACTATTAAACAAAGTTTAATCAATTTTTCTTTTAATTTCTACAAGTAGGATTAAAGAAAAACAAAACACAAAAAATAAATTTGCACAAGAACTACGCGAGACCTGATTTCGTAATACGAATACGTAGGCAATCTTTGATCTAGTCAAATAACAATAAAAAAAAGAGAGCTCTTTAATTTTATTCAAGCATAAAATCGTTCAAAAGTACATCTTGGAACTTAGTTAGTAAATAATAATTAAAAAAAGAACTTCTATAAGTGATTACACTTTATTGAAAAAAAAAAAATTAAAGAAGAACTACTAAATATTGTGTAACACCCTAAGGTTTTATTATATCCTCGATCGTAACAGCCAAAGGAGGAGTAGTATCCATTGCAGTATTTTTAGCAACCTTAGAACTTTCGCCTTCTCCCTTCTTTCTGACCCAAACATTATTCTTCAATTTGGGAAAAGGAGCTTTCTACCTTTTTCCCCTTATCTTTGGAGTTCAAAGGAGCCTTTTTTCGTGGATTTGCGGATGGCTCCTTAATTTTTACTCCTTGTTGTGCAAGTTTAGGAGCAACCTTTCTCTTAGGTTTTCTTGGACGAGCCATGGGAGATGCGGAGAAATCTAATTTTCTTCTCACTCCTTTGTTTTGGCCACTAGAAGGAGTAGTGGTGGCCGACTGCATCAAAAGCTTGGGTGGATTACGAGCCAAAGTGGCTTGATTTTGTTGTCGAGCCTTGTTTAGTTCTCCCTTGTCAGCCGCGTTCATCCAAGCCTTGTAAAAGGAAGATAAAACTATGCTTGGCTGTGGGATTTTGCACTACCCACTTAGGAAGGCTAGTCCAATTCTCGATTCAGCGGAAAATTCGTTCGGCCTTAAAATTTACATCCTTGGGAGCATCACAATCTTGTGGAGGGATAAGTTGTTTCATCCTATATTGTCTCATAACCCTGCAAGGAAATATATAAGTAGTACTAGAAAGGCCTAAACGGCGAATATAGGGACAATTGGAACTATTCCCAACCATACTACTTATGTTCCACCAAGGAATCACGAAGCGTATGTTAGGAACCCTGTGACAGAAAAAGGCCGTCCATTCTTCTTCATTCTTATGTTTGTAAAGAATACGACGACCAGGGAACGATCTCACTCCGTTAGCCTCAAGGTTTTGTGGCTGATCAACAATTCGCAAGCGCTCCATGAGCCAAATCTAAAAAAAATATACAGAAATCAGGTTGCGAATATTACAATAGCAGGTGGCGCGCGCAAGTCAAGTAGTCACGAGCGCCATCTGCGCGCAACCTCAAAGATTGCGCTGGACATACCAGCGCATTTTCCAGAGTTGTGCGCATTGACAAATCGTATAAAAAATAAAATATAAAATAAAAACCGTACATGTAAAAGAAGTGGACTCCGGTGAAACCATTCTCGTTTGGATCCCCTCTAAGGCAGTTCAAGCACAGCACGATTTCCGCCAAGGCCAATGGGGCGGGTGAATGACATCCCTCTATTTGCTCTACTATGGACATCATCGAATAATCTCCATATTCTTCGCCTCTCCTAAGTAAACAATTGACATCAAGACAAAAACATAAAGCACGAATCTTAAAACGTTGTCTAGTCAAATTGTTTCGAGGAGTTACAAAGTGTTCGATGAATTGAATCAAATTCACGCCTTTCTCCGTATCAATCGTGGTCATATCATTGTCATTCAAGCCAAAAAAAATCGCTGAAAAGCAGGTTTAGAATCCGACAAGTTAGGGGAATAAGTCACAGGGAGAGTATTTGCAGGGAAGCCTAGTAGAGCCTCAAACTCGCCAGGTTATGGGGTTATTTCATCCCCTTTGAAGAGAAAAAGATGGTGGTTTGATTCCCAATGGTTAATGGCAGCATGAAGAAAATCAAAATTGATGTTGAGTTGCATGTAACTTAATAGGGCATCTAGGTGGTATATTTTGAAAGCTAGTTTATCCTCATTAGAAAGAGAGGTGACCCATTGTTTTAATCGTTGTTCAAAGGTTTTCACCATTGTACTAATTAAAAAGAGAGTAATGAAATTCTTTTGAATAATGTTATTGTCGAATGAATGTGAGATGATCAAAAGCCTAGACATAACCGTGTTTAAATAGACCAAAACGGTCCAATTTTTGGCAAAATTCGCGAGAAGGATAGTTCACCCGCAGGTGACGCGCGCAACTCATGGAGCTGAGCGCGCCATCCGCGCACAACCAATTATTATGCGCACGGCATACGCGTGCAACCCACAGAGTTGCGCGCGCCTTGTCTGTCACATTGTATTTTTGGTTACTTCCGTATTTCGTTTTAACGAATAATGGAAACATTATTACGGTTCTTATGATTAACCCATACGCTTGCCTTTTTATTTTTTACTTCTTTTTTTATTTCCTATTCCTTTCCTTTTATTTTTATTTCTTTTTTTTCTTGCTTTTTTCCTTTATCTCGTATTTCCTCTTTCTTCTTTCTTTTCTATTTTTTCTTAAGTTTCTATCTCTTTCCTTTTTCGTTCTTTTTTTTCGAGGGGGATAAGTCAAAAACCCTTTCCCTCTCTCGAGAATTTTTTGCAAAATTTTTCACACATATTTATGGAAAATAAAATACGATAAATGGCGATATATACATAATACGTCATATGTACACAAATCATATAAAAATAATAATAATAAAAAATATACATATACATTTTCCATAAATCAAAAATATACAAGGAAATCAAGATGCTCGGCGGCTCCCGGAAGGTTGTTGTACATCCTATAAAATCTAAACCAAAGATTAATACACATACGTGTAATTACTTTGATAAATAAAAAAAAAATAAAGATCATGTGAGAACCAAGTCCTATAATAGGAACTAGGAACTCATCGTGATCTTTGCTCACTCTCAATCCAACAGCTCATGCTTCACCCACCTTTTTCAATTTCATTAAGGGTATTTTTGTAATTTTGGCAGTTGAATGACCTCCCTTCTTTTTCCAGGCGCTGCTTCATTTTCTCTCTCTTCTTCCGTATTTCCTCTATCTACCTTCGAATTCTCTCAAAGGCGATTTTTCGCGATCTGCACTCTTCGCTTGCGCTCTTTGATTTGACAAATTCTTCGATTTTGATTTTCAATTACTTCGTATTCTTCGATTTTTCTTATTCATTAAGGTAATTTTCTTGTGTTTCTGATTTTATTTTTATTTTCGTTGTTTATTTTGATTTTATTGTTTATTTCATTACGATTTTCGCGATTTAGGGTTTTTTATTGTAATTTTTATCAATTAGTTTATTTTTAGTTATTAACTGTTCTCCGATTTATTTTCTATGATTTAGTGTTTGATTTAGGGCTTTATTTTTACGATTTAGGGTTTTTTTTATTTCCGATTTAGGGCTTTTACACTTACTTACTCAATTCATGGTAGTGGTTATGTATAAAGTTGCTATATGGCTGCCTGGTCTTAATCAAGTAGTAGAACTTGTTGTGATTTTAAATTTACTTTTTGCATTGAGTCATTTACTTTTCATTATTAATTTTGCTTAATCCTTATAACTTCATTTTTTTAGTTTGTTTACCTTTTTGAGCTTTTTTATTTACTTTTTGCTTTGAGTCATTTACTTTTTAGTATACTTCTAATAGTTTTTATTAGTATACTTTTTTATATGGTTTACCTTTTGTTATTGTTTATTTACTTTTTTCTTTGATTCATTTACTTTTCGGGAAGATGACTGAAAATGTAGAGCATTGTTCTACTGCTGTCATTGATGAAGATATAAATGTAAGAATTTTCAAAACACCCACTCAGCCTATGCTTCCTAGGATATATTATAATTCTAGAGGTGATAAAGAGTATATCCCAGGTTGTTCTTTGGAAAACAAACCTATTCTTGGAATGAAATTTGATAGTCTTGGAGATGGTATTGCCTTTTATTACAAATATGCTAATGAGTGTGGATTTAAAGTCCATTCTAATACTACTAAAGTAGATAAGAATAAGGTTGGTTCTAGTAATGGTAAAGGAGTTACCGTAATTAAATATTTATTATGTAGCAAAGAAGGGTATGTGACAAATAACAAGAAAGGTGATAAACAAGTTGAAGGTGCATGTTTAAGGAAAAAGACTGTGAAGAGAGTTGGATATCCTACTAAGATTAAATTTAGGTTTTGTAATGGTGGGCATTATATGGTTTACTCTTTTCATGAGTCTCATTCTCACCCTTTTCCTACACCTATTACTAGGCAAGTTACTAAATATGAAGTTGGTTTAAATTTTTCTCATAAGAAGTTTATTTTTGACAACTCAAAGTTAAATATAGGGGTTGTTATGTCTTATAGGATCATGAAAGAACTTTGTGGTGGGTTTAAAAATGTCAAGGGCAGTAAAAATGACTTCAAAAATTTTTCTAGGGACTTGAAAGTTTATATCTCTAATGTTGATGGTGCAATGTTTGTTCAAAACCTTGAATAAAAAGTGAAAAGCAGTAAAGGAGGTTATTATTTTGATTAATGTGTTGATGAAAGCAGGCACTTGACATGTTTTTTTTAGGATATGATGATGCTATTGGTATAAGAGATTATCAATTGTTTGGGGACTCTTTATCTTTTGATTCTACCTATGATACAAATAAATACTCATTGGTTTTCTGGCCTTTTACTGGAGTTGATAATCATAAGAGATGTGTTACATTTTGTGCTGCTTTATTATCTAAAGAAGATGTAGAATCTTTTATGTGGATATTTCAAACTTTTTTGAAGTATATGGGAAGAGAACCCTTTTGCATAATCACTGATCAAGACCCTACAATGGGTATTGCCATACAAAAGGTTTTTACCAACACTAAACACGGGTTATGTATGTGGCACATTATGAGGAAGGTACCTGAAAAGGTTGGAACTCAGTTTTGTAATGAAACTGAGTTTTTAAAAAAGCTAAGTGCAATAGTTTGGGATAGAGAAATTGATCCCCATGCATTTGTTGATTGCTGGAATAGTGTTATGGAGGAATTTGACCTTGTAGATCATGAGTGGTTTGCATACATGTTCAAGATTAGGCATCTTTGGATCCCTACATATTTCAAGGACTTGTTTATGGGTGGGTTACTGCGTTCTACTTCTAGGTCTGAAGGTGAAAACAGTTTCTTTTGTAATTTTATAAACCCCCATGTGACTTGTGTTGAATTCTTTGTCCGTTATGAAACTGCTCTAGATGCTCAAAGGCATGAACAGGATGAGTTGAACAGGCTTAATAAATCTGAGCCTCAATTGCTTACTCATTTACACTTGTAAAAGCACGCTGCTGTTGTTGTTTACAGTCGTGCCATCATTTATGATTTTCAAGAAGAATGCAAGGCAGCCTATTTGTCATGTGGTGTTGAAAGTTGTAGTTCTCTGTATGGAGATGGTGTGGAGTTTTTTGTAATTGTTGATCATGAGAAAAGGAAAAACTTTGATGTAAATTTTGACTTGGCCGCATATGAGTGCAATTGTACTTGTAAAATGTTTGAGAGTCAAGGCATCTTATGTAGACACACTCTGTTTATTATGAAAGGCAATATGTGAAATTCCTGATCTTTATATCATGTATCGTTGGAGAAAAGACATTCTGAAGAAAGCTTCAGCCATAAATGCTATTCTGGATGATGCTTCTAAGTATGATAAGAAGAAGCAATTGGTGACTGATGTGTGGTCCAAGATTTTTAGTTGTGTGAGTTTATCTGAGCAATCTGAGGATGAGTTATCTGAGCTTATTAGGACATTATCTTCATTTGAGGAGCAAATGTTGACAAAGAATAATCCTGAAAATGCAACTAGTTCAAAAGAGGTGAAAGATGCTGATATTCAGGTTTTGGTTGGGTCAAATGAAGTAGATGTAAACATCTTGCGTCCAAATCAGTGTCTTAATAAAGGTTCTGCCAGAAGTTCAAAGCGGTTGAAGAGTGCAAAAGAAATAGCTTCTGAAGAAAAATCCAAAAAGGGCAGAACCTGTAGAGCTTGTGGGCAATCTGGTGTTTCACATGAAAGTAGAAAATGTCCAAACAAGTAGTTCTTCAGGTATTTTACTTTTACATGTGTTCTATTTACTTTAATCTGTTATTTATTTACTTTAACATTTAACTTGATTTACCTTTTATTTTTGTGCAGGTGTTATTATACTTGTACGTTTTTTAGGTATTTTACCTTTGTACTTTTCTCATTTACTTTAAGTTGAAATTTATTTACTTTACATTGTAATTTATTTACTTTAATCTGTCACTGATTTTCTGATGTTTATTTTTGTGCAGTTATTATAATACTTGGAAATTTAAAGATGTTTTGGAAGATCAAGATCAAGATATACTGAAGAAATATTAATGTTTTTTTTTATGTAATATTTTTACATTTACTCTAAGTAATTGTACTGCAGAAATAAAGTTCAGTTTATTTACTTTTACCTATTATACTTTAACTTTATGAAATATATATTTCATTTACTTTATGATATTGTTTTTCCTGTCTTTCACAATGAATAATATATCATATGAATTGTATTATCATGTAATGTCCTTCTTATTTACAAAATTGAAGATAATATCCTATATTACTCCCTTCGTCCCATAATACTTGGCACGATTTCCATTTTCATCCGTCCCAAAATACTTGACACATTTCTAAAAATAGCATGGGACTACAATTATAATATTATTTTTTAATACTCCCCCATGATCCCATGGTAACAAAACTTGTTAAACTTTTTTCTTTTACTTTTAACTTCATGTCTTTTACTTTAACACTAATTCCCTTTATTTTTATATTGAACATCATATTTTTGACTATTTTTTGAACTTTTTTTCTCTTAAATTTGTTCCTTTTACTTTAATGATAATTTCATTTACTTTTGGATTAATTTCTTTTACTTTAATAGTATTTTTCTTTACTTTAAAATCGAACACCATATTTCAGAAAGACTTTATTTTCTAAACTTTTTCTTTTACTTTTAACTGAGTTCCTGTTACTTTAACATTATTTTCATTTACCTTTTGATTGATTTCTTCTACTTTTATATCTAGCACCATTTTTCACAGAGAATAATTCTACTATTTCAATTCAGAGATATAATGTGTATTCTTCATACAAACATACTACTTAAACCTTCAAACTAATGTTTTGGATTAATACTATACAACTAAAAGTACTCTAATGCCTATGATATATTCAAATCTATTAAAAACATTTACAATTCTTCACATGCTTTTTGTGCTTTCTTCTCTTCCCAATCCTTAACATTTGTCAGCAGTTTCTCTTGCATTTGATTGTTATCATTGAGAAGTAGGTTAAGTACTGTTTTAATATGATAGTGTGTCAATCTTTGAAATTTCCTGTAAAAAACAAAATATTAACCTTAGTTTTAATAAATTATGCTCTAAGTAATCCATATAACTTAAAGAATTTAAGGAGTTCAGAAATAAGTATGGTAACTTACCTTTTTTATAGTTCCCAATCCTATCCCACTAACACTATCATACACCTTCATGTGTAGCATTAGATAGCTTCCTGAGTAATTTTCTTATCTTTCTTTTTGGAATGGAAGTTCATATAACACCCCAATAATTCTCTCTTTAAAACCTGTATTAACCTGTAATAACCTGTAATCACCTGTAAATACTTTTAATAACCTGTGAGAGAATTACTGGCGTGCTACCGTCACGTGTTCAAACGTTAAGGCTAGTTTCAGATATCAGCAGCGGAAAACTAATTTAGTTTTAGAAGAAAATATAAGTTTCAAAACTAATAATCAAAACCAAATTTAGACTTACAAGTTGGAACCATAACGGCCCTTATTCAAAACCCAGTAAAATAGGAAGCTGGTAGAGTTAGAGTCAAAAAAACATCAATTTATGAAATGAAATAAGCTAAGTGATTAACCAACGCTCCACTCAAACCCCATCACCCTGATGCAAGTTCAGTTTATGCAAAAACCTATGATTAGTCTGCTCCCCAATATTACAAGTGTAAGAATTGGATCATTACAGGGTCATTGAAGGGCGAAGGCCATGACCAAGAGAAAATACACAAAAGCACGCAATCAGCAACGCTGAGTACATATAAGCTACGAAATATAGTAAAGAGCCTTAGCATGATACTAACAAGAATTCTATACACACACAATATAATCATTGACTCGGACACATGACTCAATTGTCGATCATTACTAAGTTTTCACTAAATAGCATTAATCATTTCATTAATTTGATTGGATTAAGCAATTGACCGAGTTGTCCCCCTAAGACCCATTTTGGAACATTAATAAAAGAAAAACCCTATGCCTCCTTTCGGAAGACATTAATAAACATCCAATGGCAGACGGGCGCGACTCCGTGGCCATAGCTAGTATGAGATCTCATCTAACTCATTATAATTTTAAAAGAATTTAAAACAAGAGACTCGTAGATCAGACGGCCTCTGAAAAGTACACGGCTAATACCCCGTGAGCCCCAACCCCTGTTTGTCATTACTCTAGATGTGCACAAATCCAGAGTTTTATTGCTCATCCTTCTTGCACTTTACGTGATTTACCGGTTTAAACTTGGTGATGACTCAAATGCAACACAACACAACACAACCAATCATACATCAATCATTCAAACCATTCAACTTTCCAATTCAATTCTTAATTTATTAGTGACAAACAATATTTATTATTGCATCCTTTAACTACCTTGGTGTATAAACACCTTAAGTGTATAAGGCACCTCAAATTCTCAACCTCGTCTTATAAGACTTTAATTCTTCCTTTACTCATTCCATTTCAATATAAATGAACAAGTAACCAAAATAATTCATTCCATATATCCTTGTATCTTTGCCTCTAAGCTCACTTTGCAAATTATTGCATAAATAATGCTCATAAGGAAAATCAATGCAAATTTTCTCATACATAAATTAAACCAATCATCACATTTATCATCAATCAACTCATTACCAAACAATTCCAACCAATCCACAAGTTCCCTAGCATGATTCTAGGTTTTTCCAAGTCCCTAAACATGCTCCTAAAATCAAGGTTCCTCGTATTCTTATACGTACCTTGAGTACACGAATTGGTTGGCCACCTTAAGACTAGAAGTCACCTTCTACGAAGTCCTCTCCTAAACAAAACAACAATAGCTCAATTAATACCCAAGCAATATAATTTACATGCAGCAATACCAAACTACTTTAAAACCCCTTAATATTGAATTAATGCCTTTATATTGCTCACAATAGTCAAAGTTAATAATTCAAAGTTCAATTACAAGTTTGTATGTTAAAATCATGAAAATATAGCTTATAGCATAAAATTTCAGCAACTTTAAAGTAGGGTTATAATCTGAAAATTTATTTATAACATCAATCCTTCGTTAAAAATCTAAAACTGCCCAAAAATCATATTTAGAGGCTGAATTTAGCCACGAGAAGATGGTGCTCACTACCAACAGTAGTGAGTTTTGATTAGAGCGTCGTTTACACACGAAAAACACTATTTTTTTGCAAAAATCAGACGAGTCAAAGTCAAGACGTGATTAAGGGAAATTACGAACGAAATTCAGAAATTAATTCCGAAAAATTTAGAACTTGCTGTTGAATTACACATCATCATATTCATAGAAAAATCACAAAAAAATCATGCTTAAATTGAATAACTTTAGCAACACGTTATTAAACCCTAAAAATCATGAAAAATCAACATTTAAACCTTCAATTTTCGCATAAACCAAATCTGAAATTTTATTTCATAAATCAAATGAAGTATATTCATAAATTTGCAATCTTTCATAACTCATAAACATAATCAAACTATAATAATTATTAAACATTGAAAAATTCATGTAAAGATTGAAACTTTAAACAAGATTAAACAAGAAAGAGAGAAAGATAAAAGAGAAGGGGAAGGAAACCGGCTGGGCGGCGGTGGCTGCAGGTTTTGGCTGAGGGCAGGCGGCCGTGGCAGCAGCGAACGGTCGCCGGTGGTGGTGGTGGTCGGCAGCAGTGGCGGTGTAGGGCAGCAACGAATTTATTTTTTTTTTTATTTTTTTTTTTTTTTTGTGTGTGTGAGTCGTGAATGAAGGGGGAAGCAAGGGGAAGCAGTAGAAGTTTATAGGAGGGTTTTGAGAGGAGAGTTTACTTAATTAAAAATGGAAATATGGGCTTAAGGTTTTTTTTTTTTTTTTTTTTTTTTGTAGAGTTAGAATGGTAGTCATGGCCCAAAGTGAGTAAAAATGTTATTGAAATATAAGTTATCTTTTTTATTTTGTCAAATCCTTCCAAAA